TAATAGCGCCGGGGGCGTGGCTAGAGTGGGAAAGGGGAGGTGTGATTGGATGAGCAACCTTTCTGCTTTGGTTGGGGCGGGAACGCAGACAATATTGCCGCGCTGTGATTGGCTGGAGTCTTTTCCTCATCTGATGTCGCTGTCCTGGATTGGTTTTAGGCAGCTGTGAGTGACATGGGCGCTGTAGGCGTGGGGCTGGGGGCCACTGGGAGGAGAGACCACGTGGTGCTTCTGGGCCGGTGGGACACGGGGGGGACCAGGCCCCACAGCTCTGGGTTTGGGAATGAAAAGTTGGGGCCATGCTGGGAGCTCAGACCCGCTGCCCAGAGCCCTCGGCTCAGCTCGCGCCCAGACAGCGGAGGCTCTCAGGGCGCCCGGGGGTCACCCAGCGAGGTGGCTCTCAGATCATAGGCCGGGCCCTCGCTGCGCCTGTCCCCAGACCAGCCTCCAGCCTCCCGCAAGGGGCGCCGCAGGGAGCCGGGCGTGTCCTTGGGGGCGGAAGTGCCCGGCCGCTCAAGGGGGGGTTGTTTCACGGGGGAGGAGTGACTGGATCCCCCCCGATGAGCTCGTCTGGCCTATGGGGCAACCCCCCTTTACAGGGCTACCCAGCATGGAGTGACTGATGGGTTTATTTGGGGAGGGCAGGGTGGGCAGTGCCCCCTCCCAGGGCAGATCTGTCCATCTGGCGCATCCATGCAGGAATTTCCCATCACTGGGCACTTGCTTCTCCCCAGTTCCACGTCTAAGGGCTGCTGAAGTGCCCGGAGCTGCTCCAGGATCCAGAGGGTCACCTGAGCTCCGTCTTCCCCTTATAGGCAGCCTCAGAGCAGGTCTTGGCGCCATTTCTGCCCCGCATGGTGACGCAGCGGTACTGGCCAGGCACAATGCAGTCTGGGCCCCCCAGGGGCTCGGACCACCCCCGCTTCTCACAGCTGGTGCCCGCCCACCCACGGTAGCAGCGGCACCCGAACTGCCCCCAGGCCTCCAGGCCCGGCTGCTCCCCGG